GGGAAAAAAAAGCAACTAGTTGAGTTTGTAACTCAACAAGCACACAAGTACTTTGCTTTAAGACAAGCATTCTGCTCAGTTGGCAGCAGAAACATTTTGTGTGTTCTTCCCATTTTATTACAAAGAACATAGAACATTAAAGATGACATGAGCCTAAGGGTCAAGATTTAATAACAGTGTTATTTTTGTTGCTTCATCAAGTGTTTCTAAGTGAATTTGTCCTAATAAAAAACAACGCAGGTGTGTGGTGGTAAACAGCGTGATGACTACTAGTACGTTTTGGTGTCGCTGCCGTGATTTGTGCTAAGGCCCCAGAAGTCTCACCCCAATTGTTTTTGCTCCAGCAGTACAAATGTCAGCAAAGAGAAAGGCAAATAATGTCTTAGTATCATAATGAAAAAGGTTTTCTTCTTTCAAACCGCCTAGATGGTCTCGAGGATCCCCAGAGGTCCGAGAGCTACATTTTGAAAATATCTAAGCTAATGCTAACAATTCAGTGTATTTCTAATGTTGAATCATCATGCATGACGTGTCAAATGAATTTCTTTATGCATTGGCCTTTGGCTTTGGCTTTTAAGATTTCTTTTAAGAAAAATTGTCGAAGTATGATCGTTGGATAAATAAGTATAAATAATGCTAAATTTTAGGAGACATAAATTTAAACAAAGTCCATTTGAATCATGGACTTTTATTCTTAAAATTTATCAGACCAGTATAAATCAGTGTATTAATACTGATCTTTTTGAAGTGACAGAAATCAATTCAAACTAGCTTATGTCCAAAGAAGGATTTATTGGCTTTTGTAACCTATGTATCTAGGATTCAAGAAAATAATTCCATAAAATAGTTTTGTTTTCAGGAGCTTCTTTTCTTCCAAGTGTGCATTCTGTAGTATAAAAGTTGCCAGCTCCTTTTCAAAGACTTCCAAACAAAAGAAGGAAAATATTACTTTATGCAAAAGAAGGCAAATACTACTTTATGCAGTATTTCATTATAGTTGTCTGGTGAAAAATAGCTGATGAGAGTGGGGACGTTGCTGGGATTTGGGGTTTGCAAAATTTCACGGGGTGATCAGGAAAGGCATCCTTGACAAAGTGAGATTTGAACAAAGGTGTGGAGGGGGGAGCAAGATAGCAAACAGATATCTCGGGGAAGGATGTTCTAGGCAAAGGGATCAGATAGAACAACGACAGTCCAGGGTGTGTGGCAAGCCTGAGGGATAACAGAGAGACTGGTGTGGTGGGAGCAGGTGAACAAGAGGAAATTAATAAGCCTTGAGTCAAAAGTGGGAGAGTTTTTTAATGGAGGGCCTAGTACCCCGGGACTTGGGTTTTAAGGACATGGGGTTTTTCTCTGAATTGCATGGCCTGGCTTAGGTTCTAAAAGGATGGTTCTAGCTGGGGATGGTGGTGTGCACCTGTAGCTACTGGAGCAGCTGAGGAGGGAGGATCCCTTGAGGCCAGGAGTCCGAGGTGCAGTGCGCTATGACCACACCTGTGAATAGCCGCCGCACTCCAGCCTGGGCAACATAGCGAGAACTTGTCTCTCAAAAAATAAAAAATAAAAATAAAGGACGCTTCTGACTGCCGTGCTGAGAACAGCATACAGGGGAAGGAGTGGCAAAGCAGAGTGACCTGTTGGAAAGCAAGTCCAGTGAGAGATGGGGGTAGCTTGGACCAGAGGGAGAGCAGTGGAGGTGGTGCGTAGAAGACAGATTGCGGGTGCATTTGAAGGCCTAGCAACAGGATTTCCTAATGGATTGGATGTGGCTGTGAGAGAAACAAAGACATCAAGGATCATACCAAGGTTTCGGCCTGAGCGGGGGAAATGCTGGCTCCGCCTTCTACTGAGTCAGCAAAAGACACAGTAAAGCGGTTTGAGGGAGGAAGTTAGGGTTCTAGTTTTTGATGCGTTAAGGTTGAAATACACGTTAGACAAACAAGTGACACATTGAGAAGGAAGTTAGATGCGTGAACCTGGAGTTCGGGGATCTGGGCTGCAGATTGGCAGTATCAGTGAACCTGTGCTGTGCAGTGCCCTGGCCTGGAGGTGACCCTCAGGAGACTCTGTGCTTCACTGAGGATTTTAACTTTGCGTGGACAGACTTACCGATCCCTTAGTCAGACTCACATTAAAACCTATTCACCAAGAGTCTGAAGATAAAGTCTGGCAAAAGTTAAGACAAGGACCATTTGAAATTTCAATCTATCCCTTTTTTAAATTTCCTAGATTGGCATCAATGTGTGGACCATGGCCCTACTGGTTGCCAAGCGCGGGAACCCAAATCAAGTTGGCTTAAACAACCACGGTTCCAAGAGTGTGTTGGGGGAGACAGGGCTGGAGACGCAGGGGCGAGTTAAGCCAAGGTGTGGGAGGGGCGGAGGCGTAGAGGTCTTGGGAGGCCTGGCCTGGACTCTTGACTGCTGCCTCAACCTTCTCCCTGCTGCGCGTCCCTCTGAACATCAGCCTACTTCCCTCATAGCACTTTCTCCGTGTGACGGGACACGGGGCTAGCATCTCTCTGGACTCACGTGCCCATCTGCAAGTTGCACAGGAAAGAGCTCTTCCATGACAATTCCGTGTAGGATAATCACAGAGAGAAGCTGGCTGGCTCTCTCTAGGCCACGAGCCCATTCCTGGACCCGCTCTTGAGGCCAGAGCCATAGGCTGCCTGGACAGGCTGCTGCCTCCACCCACCACCAGGGCCAGGAGAGGACTGAGCTATCCAAAGAAGGAGGGAAACAAAACAACAGATGTTCCAAGCTGTCTTCAGAAAGTGAATTAAATATGAGCAGGACCAATAATGACTTCAAAACGTTTACTCCCTTTCCTCATTAAAATGTGCTCAGTAAAGAAAGGCCCCGAGCAGGTCAATACCTCAGAAAATAAATTATGGTGCTAGTAAATCAGATTCCTAAGAATTCTCCCTATAAAGGAAACCAACCACAGGGATTAAAAAGAACTGCATTGGGCAATGGAAGCCAAGCAAAGACCATGGATACGGGAGGGCAGGGAAGAGAGAGGCAGAGTAGGAGGAGATATCAGGTGTGAGCATCAAATCATGACCACCATGAAAGCAGGGAGCCCTCCAGATGCAAGATTATTATGAAACCAAATAGATCTCTATGAAACTTACAGCAGCCCAATATACCAAATTAGAGACATCTCTGGCAATCGCTAATAAGAGCCTTCTAGATGGCAGATTGGATCACTCTATGGCCCCCACAGTATGAGAATATCATGCACTAACAT